TGATAGTCATGTATATAGAGATTAGAAATGCATGTGAAAACGTCTCAATGTCAATTGCCTTGGAATGAATTCTTCTGTATGAAAAAAAAAACACAAGTATCTTCTTGAAGTCCCTCAAATTAAGGTAAAGAATAAGAACAAATCGTTCTGGAAGAACGCAAAGGAAAATAGCTTTAGATACTTAAGTGACAATAGAATTTATTCTCATAATTGTTTTAATAGCTTTTGTATAATCCTCATCGCTATTATGAGATATAAAATGTATTTATCAAATCTGCAATCATTATGCCAAAAAATCCGAATTACTGTAATATTTTGCATATTGTTAAAACTGTAACTTTAATGGTAAAAAAAAAATTTTAAATAAAAAAAAAGTCCCATACAAATATATCTTTCATGATTAACTTCACATTAGTCATTATAAAAATTTTACTTTCTTGGGGATGGAGAGATGGCTCAGCAATTAAGAGCACTGACTGCTCTTGCAGAGGACCCAGGTTCGATTCCTAGCACCCACATAGCAGCTATGAACTGTTCTTAACTCCAGTCCCAGGGAAATCCAATGCCCTCTTCTGACCTCCACGGCATTGCACGACACGGGTGCAGTCACATACATGCAGGCAATACACTCATACACATAAAATAAAAATAAAATATTTTTAAAAATTTTACTTTCTCTAGAATAAACATATTACATATTTATATAATTTAATATAACCATTCACTGGGGTGAAATATGTCTAGAAGGATGTTATAACCATCTATTATCTATGAAGACTAAAACAATATCACACTTGTATAACATTTGTATAAGGTTCCTTATTTTCAATATGTACACACACAAAAACACTTACATTTTTTGGCATTCCTTTCGTTCTCCCAACATGGGATCCCCCATTTCTCCAAGAATGGTAGCTTCCACTTCATACTGAACAATGAGAGCTTTTTCTGATGGATGTACATCAATATTCCCCCCTTTAACTTTCCTGTAATACAAAATTTTATAAAGTTAACTACATTAAAATCTCACAAAATAGCCATAGTTTTGTTCAGTTTCTAGTTCTAAAACACGAGGGATGGATTAACATACACCTTTGTATCATATTTTCTATGGGGTCTCTCTCTCTCTCTGGATATTTTTTTTGTGTGTGTGTGTGTGTATACATTCAGTTAAAAGAAGAAAAACACAAGGATAGACTATTAGTGCAGATCTTAAGAGATTTCAACTTTCAAAGTAGGTCTTCCACATATTAGCAGCTGCAGGAAAATCCTAAGTGGTGTCCTCTAGGAAATGATGTCTCTCAAAATTGAACTAGCTAAAAAGAAAACAACAACAACAACAAACCTCCAGCCAATCAGCAAAATAACCAACCAAAACATCAGCACTCTTTTTTAGGTTCTAATTGCTTTTTGTGTATGTTAGATACTTTGATTAAGATGTATGTATTCTCCACAAAACAGTTTTAACTGAACAAAAATAAGACATAAATTAGCAAGGAGAAAAACTAAATTCAACAGCATAGAGGAAAAACCTGCTGCCATTTTGGAGCACATACAGCTAGACGTTTTATGAATTATATTTGTATACAATTCATAAGTAGTACCTTTCTGCTACTGATTTTTTGATTTAGCACAAAAATTGTTTTTACAACAAATGCACCTCATGAAAATATCCATTTATAATTTTTCTATAAGATGAATGATCTTAAATGCTAAACTTTCAAACAGAATTGAATACATTTACAATGAGAATGTTTAAATATTGAGATAATTACCTCTCAAGTGCTTTACCTAGACTCTGTTAATTTGATGAAATTGGAATTAAATGCTTTTTTATTTGAAACATTCTGGTATTAAATTTGTATCTTTTAAAATTTTGCAAATTTCTTCTACTAATGATGCCCTCTTTTTATTTATTTTTATTTTACATGTATGTGTGTATTGTTTGCATGTATGTAAGTGTACCTGTGTCATGCATGCCTGCAGAGGACAGAAGAGGGTGTGAGATCCCCTGGAGCTGGAGTTCAAACAGTTGTTGACTGGAACCTGGGATTTCTGAAAGAACAGCCAGTGTTCTTAACTGCTGAGCTATCTCTTCAGCCCCTTAAGGACTAATTACTTAGTCCTCTTAGTAATAGCTCTGCTTTACTTTTTTTCACATATGTACAAGATAACTGGACCAGTAGATGCTAAATTATTTCAGAAACATAGTTTGCATTTGGCTCAATAAGAAATCACATAGTAATATAAAATATATCTCCTATAACTACATATAATAAATTGTAACCTTTGGTAACAACATTCTCTGTGTGTGGGGTCGGGGAGGGGGTACTAGAGATTTCCACCCAGGGCTTTAAACATGCTAGAAAAACACTGTACCACAGTCCTTTTTATGTATCTTCTGCTTTGAGACATAGTTTCATTTAGTTGCCTAGGCTGGCACTGAACTTGCCATCCTCCTGCTTCAGCCTCCTGAGTAGTTAAGATTATAGGCCTGGTGGAAATAGTATTCTTGAGGTTTGCTGCTGCTGCTGCTGCTGTTGTTTCATTTTGATTTTAAGACAAGGTCTCCCAAGTAGCCCCAGCTGGCCTGGAAATCACTATGTAGACCAAATGTCTTAATCTCATAGAGGTCTGCCTGTCTCTGTCTCCCTAGTTCTGGGATTAAATTCATTTCTGAAGCACATTCTTAATGTTTCTAGACTTCATGTGGTTGGCAATATCATTATGATCTCATATACACAATGAGTAAGAAATTAGAAGAAATGTTAAGTTAGATGAGATTGGGACAAAGCTAAAATCCAGGCCTATAGGGGTTGGCATTCCTCAAAAACACAGAAACTTGGCCAAGACTGTGATAATTAACCTTATTAGAACTCTGGAAGCTAGTCAAAGGTTTATAGTAGTCAAATGAAAGTTTAGTCAGGAGAAAGGTTCTGTAAAAATGGTATGATATCATCTTGGTGTTTAACTCTAGACAATACTCTCCTCTGAAGCAGAATGACAATCTGCTGCATCTGGCTTCCATTTCATCTAACTTGAAACTCTGTCAAGATACCATGGTTATGTGGCCATCAAAGTCAATGAAAATGAAACTTCTAAGCTGCTGCCCCATAAGTAAACAATAAGAGTTGCATAAAACAAAATAATAAAATAAAATAAAGAAAAAGGAGAAGATATGCTGAAGTCTGAGAGGAAAATTTGGGGAGTTAAAGCTTTTGGACATAATAGAAGTTTTAAGAAGTTATTGCCAGATAGAGAAATATAGAAATTCATGAACATGCTTGGGGCGGGGCACAGCCTCAAAACCACCTGACACCATAAAATTGTACATGAGTGGACCTTTGGGCATTATGCAATCATGAGGCGAAGGCTTAGGTAGAGGTGCAAATCATCTGGATAAGGGCTGAAGGGATGGCTAAGCACAAGAGTATTTTCCTTCCTTCCTTCTTCCCTTCCCATCTCCCTTCCTCTTCCTCTTGCCCCTCCCCACTCTCTCCTCCCTCTGTTTCTTTTCTTTCTCTTGTTGGCACATAATATTGCTCAATTTCAGAAGAGAACATTTAATAAAAGCTGTTCAAGGCACAGACAGCACAAATTTTAGATTACTAGACAAAGACTTTAAAACAACTGTCATTAAATATACTAATAGAGGAAAGGGAATTAGAATAAACACTAAAAATCCCAGGAAAACAATATATCAACAAATAAATATTATAAATAAAATATATTATTAAAAGGATCTATTTGCTGGGCGTGGTGGTGCACGCCTTTAATCCCAGCACTCAGGAGGCAGAGGCAGGCAGATCTCTGTGAGTTCGAGGCCAGCCTGGTCTCCACAGTGAATCCAGGCCAGCTGGCACTACAGGGAGACCCTGTCTCAAGAAGACCCACCCCCCAAAAAAGCATCTATTTAAAATATTGGGGCTGAAAAGTATAATAAATAAAATTAAAATTACAATAGAAGAGTTCAACAGCAGATTAGACCTAATCAAGAGAATAATTGTCAAACCTGAAGATAGGTCAAATGAAATTAACAAGTCTGACACACAGAAAGAAAACAGAATTTTTTAAAAAAGGAATAAAGTCCAAGAATACCACTATATATGGATACCACATATATGAAAATATACATACACATACAGTCCATGTATATGAATGTAAATATATGCATAGTGAGAGTCCTGGGACGTTAAGAAAAAGCTGAGAAAATACTGGAAAAACTAATGGTTAAAATGTCCCAAATTAGACATAAATTTATACCCCTAAAAAAACTCTATTTATTCCAAGATAAACTCAAAGAAATTCACAATGAGACACATCCCATTATATTCAAACTTATGAAAGTCAAGAAAAATGGAAAATCTTGAAAGTAGTAAGAACAAAGTGACTAGTGTTCTGGGAATATTTGATAAGATTAACAACCAGCTTCTCAAAAAACATTGGGGTTGGAGAGATGGCTCAGTGGTTAAGAGCACTGACTGCTCTTGCAGAGGACCCAAGATCAATTCCCAGCACCTACATGGCAGCTAACAACCATCCATAATTCCTGTTCCAGGGGCTCCAAAACCCTCTTCTGACCTCCGTGGGCATTGCTCGACATGGGTGCACATACACACATGCAAGCAATACACTCATATACGCAAAACCCAGAAGGCATTGATATGCATACTAAAAGTACGGAACAAAAAACTGTCTCCCTACAAGACATTTATTTCCTAAGACACTATCCACATTCTAAATTAAAAATTTAAAGAGTTCCTGGGCACCATCTCAGGACCCATATGGAGGCACATCCAAGACACAGGACTAACGAGAATCTGGACTCTGCTGTCCAACACGAGTTCTTCTACCTTTCAGTAGAAGGAAAGGCACTGGCCACTTAATACCTTAATCTACATGTGATTAGGGGCATAAGCAATGGGGTGCTGCCCTTATGGTTCAGGGCAACAAACTCTCCCTCCAATGCTGAAGGAAGAGCCAGAAAAGAAAATGCTGTCTACCCTGTGATCCAGCAGCTGAAGCCTGAGAGGCCCTCCAGCTCCCACCTGAGTCTCCGAGACTTGCTCACATGTCCTGTGAGGCAATGTGTTGTTCATTCCCAGAATTTTGCCTTCTCTCTGAGGCAGGAGAAAATGTAGGCAACAAGATAGAGCAAGTTACCACTAAGAATGAGAATGGACTTCAGATCGCTAGTACTGGAACTGTCTTCTTGCCTTGGCTGAAAGACATCCCTCAGTATTTCACAGAACCAAAAGATGAGAGATCAGCTCTAAATATTTTTCTCTGGTGATTAAATTTGGTCACAACATCCCAAGAACTTTCCTTAACTACTGTAAAATAATAAAGTTATTTTCAGAATGAAAAAAAAAATTTAAAGAGTTCACTAGCAGCATAGGATAGCATAGCTATCCTATAAGAAATGCTTATAAGTCCTTTAGCCTAAAGTGAAGGACATTAGGTAGCAACTAAAACCAAATTTGGAAATAATGGATACTGATGAAGGTAGCACTGCAAGAAAACAGAAAGCCACTATGCATTTTGGGTTTGGGATCCTTTTTTCTCTAAATGAGAACATAACAGATACAAATCCTTTATTATCACTAATTACTTTATAAATAAACTCTCAGTTAAAAGGCAATAACCTACAGAATGAATAATTAAGAATATGCTGATTACATGGTAGTCACTTTAGATTTAGGCTCAAAGGCTAAAAGGATGGAAAGAGATGCATGATAGGATACAAAAGAAAGATGGATTTTGTGCATGCTGTCACCATTCCTGTAAGTTCATATGAGTAGCTGCCCAGCTGCCTAGAAACCTCTGTTTCCTTGTGGTCACCCACCACTTCTGGCTCTTACAATCTTTCTGACCTTCTTCTGTGAAGGTTCTTGAGCCTTGGGTGGCAGGGGTTTGATATAGGTGTCCTATTTAGGGATAAGCACTCTGCATTCTTTTATTCTCTGTACTTAAGCCAGTTGTGGCT